GGAGAGGTCCCAAGCGGTTGGCATTGTCGGGGCGTCATTCTTGGCGCGTAATGCTGGTCGCTGCTTATCGTCGCCTTCCCATGTCCAAGGACAACCCGAATCAGGCCCATGCTGCACGCGTTCTGTCCCCTTCACAACACCTCCTTTGAGCGTAATACATGCCCCAGCATACACTTTTCAACCTGTGTTGTCCCAAACATCAGCCGTGTGGCGCCAGATCCCATTCTGGGAGACGTGTTTTTGCTCCACACCCAATTACTAAAAGTTATTTTGTCGTCCAACCCTTTCCCCAAAAACCACCACCCAAAAACAGGGACAACTTCATGGCCATGACCCGCATCTTTAAGCACTATGAGTTGAACCTGGGCCTCGAGGGCGTTGCCTCCCGCAAGCTGTCGTTCAGCAGCTACCCTGGTGCGGATGCACATGCACAGTGCCCGCTGCTGACCTGGCCAGGTTGCTCTGTGCACGTATTGCTTTGAGCGTGTGGCGAAGGACAGCGCAACGGCAAGGGGGCACACCTCCAGAACTTCATCTGCATAGCTGCAACAGCGGTCACGCGCGCCCTTATGCCACGTGTCTTCCAGCTCGCATGTACACATGGCAGGGCCAGACCCTTGCGTGAGCGCTCTCAATACGCATGTTCACCCCAACCCTCGTGTGCTGCTGTGTGCCCTGCCAGGGGAGTTGTTCTCTGATGATGACCTGTACATGACTGATGCCGGGCTGGTGGTGATGGAGACGACAAACCACATATATAATCCTGATGTCTTCAAGGCAGGCCGCATTATGGCGAATCACCTGGGTTTCGGCATCCGTTTCGGGCTGGCAGTCTGTTGGGGTGTGGCTGGCGGCATGACAGCGACTGGTCAAGACATGTTTTCAGGGCTGTGAATGCAGAGGCAATCGCTGCGCCGGCTACAAGCGTTGATCAGCTCAACATGCTTGCTGACAGCCTTGCCTCGACGCCCGCGCCGCTGGCCGCGCCGCTGGCTTCAGGTGCTGACTCCCAGGAGCGTGCTGAGCTGGCAGCGCGTGCGCTCCGCAAACCTGCTGGCGTCCAGCGGCGCGCAATGGGTCGAGCTGTTCAAGCGCCACAACAGCGGCACCTACAACAACCAGTGAGCAGGGAAAAATGCAGCGGTTGGGGGTTGCAGAAATGCTGTGTGTGAGTGTCTGAGGAGTACGGAGGGTGCATGTGTGCATGCGTGCGCGCGTGCACCTGAATACGCACTTGGGTTGGCGCGCGCGCCTGCGTGAGCTCAGGAGCGTCTCCATTCAATGGCCGGCAGCTGGCGGGCGACCCCAAGGTTGCTTCCATCCCTGGGGGTGCACGAGGGCCGCGTTGTCCCGAGCCAACGTGCCACCCCTACACCAACCTGTGTGCGGCGCCGGCACGACGCCACAAGTGTGATCCCCTGAGCAATCTCTTGAATCGCACCCGCCACAACCCCCGCCGCCGCTCGCAGGTACATGATTACAGACCTGAACAAGTGGGCGGTCGCTGATGATGATTATTTTGTGGGGTCCAAAGGGCGCATCGGCATGGGCACCGCCAGTCTTGGGGTTTCCCTCCCTTTTGGAGAGCCGCATGCTTTTTCGCCCGCCGTCAGCCCCTGATTTTTTCAGGGGCTCACCTGCAGCTGGGGCGCCCAACGCTAGGTCCAGCCGCAGTGGGCAGCACGGCCTGGCCGGCTGCAGCATTGCCAAGCATCTCAACCCCACGTTCGATCCCCACCTGGGGCGTGATTGTTTGCTCAGGTTCTCCCCCGGCAAGTACATGGCGCCCGGGACGTTCCATGTGGTGGAGCAGCTGGTGAGGCCGAGCGGCGCACCCAAAGCCGACGTGCACGTTCGCCGACATGGCAGCCACCGCATGCCCCCGACGCTGCGCCCCTCTTCCCGCAGCATAATGCGCTGGCACTTTTGTTTTCGCCGGAGACAACCGACGACCGACGCCCTGCTGCATCTGTGTACCCGCCCTGTATGGCTCCCGGTGCGACGTCTCTGCCCCTCCCCGTTTCCCCCCTCCCACCCCTGACACCCCCCGCCCAACCCCTCAGCCCGGCATCATTGAGTCTGCAGACATGACCGACATGCTGGCGCGAGGCTATTGGTGGGTCGAGGGGCCGCCTGACTCGGCAGCCTCGCTGCTGGGGGGTGCCGCCTGAGCCCACCGTGCCTGCGGCGTGCCGGCTTCGCCGCAGCTGCTGTATGACAGGGCCACACAATGAATCGTAGCGCTTCACGCTGCAGCACGGCCCATGTAAAGGACTGCCTTCACTGCTGGATGCGCTGTCCAGGCCTACCTGCCGGTCTGTCCCTCACTTGCCCCTGCCCCGCCACCCACCTCAGGCCGTCCTACAATGTGGCATTCTTCCCCAAAATCTACAACAAGAGCGGCTACCCCGAGTTCATAGCCGACAAGGAGCGCATGGGGGCACCATTCGAGCAGCCAGCAGACTGGCTGAGATACCAGGTGGGTGGTGCACGAGGGTCGCCTGTTTGTGTGCCGCGTGTGCGTTTTGAGCGTGGAAACCCTGCAAGCAGGCACCCATGCAGGAAGTGCGTGTGAGCGTGTCAAGGTCTTGGCAGGAGCAGGTCGTGTTTGACTGCCTCATGCGTCGCCATCGACCTTTGCCTGCACAGCTGCGCGTCAAGCCGAGGACCTGCTTCAGTCGCCCCCATCTGCTCATGCCCAGTCTCGGTGCACCTTGTGTCACCCGCTGCCTCTCGTCCCCAGATCTCTCCTCGTGCAAAGATGTTCCGCCGCGACCAGTCCGATGCGAAGGACGTCGCCTCGTTCAAGCACGTCATGCGCTACAACGACTGGCGCCACGACCCTCTGTCGGCGGGGGCGCCGTTTGCCGCGATCTGCGGGCGCGGGGACCTGGCGCCCGAGGGTGCCGATTTCGGGCCTGTCCTCAAGGGCTGCTACGATTCCAAGGTGATCTCTCCTGGGCACGATGCACTAGGGAAACCGCCTGGTTGGTTGTTTTTGGTGGTTTGCGCGATGGGGCGCTCCTTGCCACGAGTTTGATCTTGACTAAGTATGGCGACGGGCTGCTGATCCGGCCCAGGCCTTGCTTCAGTTTGAACCAGCAGGGCAACAGCTAGCCTCACGGTTGCCTGCTCGCATCAGCTCCTGCCCGCACTCCCCCCCCCCCCCCGAGGATCTGCTGCTGGCTTGTCATTCCTCCTATACCTTCCTTGCAAACACGCGCATCCATACACGCGCATTCCAAAACACACATCGCGTGCACACACGGGCAAACACATGTATGTGCGTGCGTGCGGACGCACAAGCGCACGCACGCCCCCCCCCAACATAGGCACACACAGACCAGCGCACACAGCCCACCTCCAGACAATCCCATCCACTTTCACCCCACCCTTCATGCAGGTCACCAGCTACAGCCAGGCCTTGAGGCTGGAAGCTGAAGTGGTCAACGGTCCAACCGCTCAGGGGCAGCCCCCTTTTGAGTGGAAGGGGCGCTGGGCCAACGTGCAGCACAGGGGCATGCCAGACAGGCGCGAGGGAGAGGGGCGCGGGGGTCGGCACCTTGCCGGATTGTGTTGGCGCGAGGAGCTAGGTGGCAACCGCGGGCGCCGGTGCCTCGACATGCTAGCAATGGCCGCCGGGGCCGCCTGTGGGCGGGCTTGCCAGCCCTTGAAAGTGGTTAAACCTGCTGACCAGTGGGCTTGTGCGAGGCGGCCTGCGGGCGCGTGCAGCCACGCAAGACACTCGCATCTCTGTTGGGCCGCCTTGTTCCGCGAGCCATCATACCTTCTCCACTCCATGCCTCACACTCTCGCTTGGTGCAACCCAACGCAGGTTCGATTTCCAATTTGAGGTCCAGAGCCCTGCCGACCTTCCTCTGCGGGACGGCTGCGCGCCGCGGTCTGCAAACATGGGCGCGTCACACTAGCGGCTTGCCCTTGTATTCTCGGGCGCAGGGGTGCGACGGCTACGGTTGAGCTTCCATTTTGTTGAAAGTTGATGTCAATGTGCGGCTGCGTGCATGGGTGTCACATGCCTATAGAGCGATGGGGGTCATGTTTTGGAACATCGCGCCCAATGATGAGTCACCACAACGGTGATGAGGCTGCTCATAAACTCCGGGCACTTGGGCGCGCATTGGACATGGTGTGATTGGTGAGTTGAATTTTTCTTCTTGGGTGGCCGGCGCGATGACGGCCAAGTTGGGAGTTGCAGGATTTCGGGGTTCAGTTTGACCGCCACAGCCGCCGTCACTCGCACCTGACATCCCGCTCGCGCACGAGCCGCATGTGCTGGTCAACTTATCCTTTGAATCCCAAAGTAATGACTCAACATGACAATCAGATGAGGGACCCCTCCGAAACGGGATCGGGCAAGTCGCGAGTGGAAACCTTTTTCCGACAGACGAAACATCAATGGACCGGCTCGGTATACCACCTATGAGTTTTCTCTTCATGGCTTCATCACAACAGGTCTTCGTTGACATCTCTCGACACACCTCGTCCACAGTGGCGCATTTTTTGAGCACCAGTTACCTGCGCACAGACGCCTCTGGACTGCTGTAAAACGTGTATTTACGATCATTACAATCTTGTCGGGACCACTTAGTTGGGACATCGTGGTCAGAGCATTCGGTCCGGAGGCCAGCAAGTTTGAGGGACCACATGCCTCAACCAGCACCCACGGGGGCCCAGCCCCAGGGGCGCCGCTCTCCAGGGGTCCCAGGAGCGTCAAAGTCTTCAAAACGGGCCTCTGCCAGCGACACGGATGTGCCCAAAGAGATCCGGACCAGCGAGCAGACTGAAGACTTCATGATGAACGTGTACAAGCTAAAGCTGTGCCCGAGGAGGTAGGACAAATTCGCGCAATTCTGCATTTGCACGGCAGGCTCAGCCAGGCGGCGGGATTGACGCGGCCGGCTGTGCTCCCTCAGCAGCGGCGCCGACGCCCGCGTGGTCGGGGCCCCTTGGCGCCGCCCTCGCCCTCCCTTATCAAAGCGACCCCGGCCGCCCCCATTGCATGCCCCCTGTGCAGCTCGAGCCACGACTGGCGGACGTGCCCTTACGCGCACCAGGGGGAGAACGCGGCGCGCCGCGACCACCAGGTCACCCAGTACCTGTCAGTCTGCTGCCCAGAGTCCAAGGCGGTGAGCAGGCCGCGCCCAGGGATTGTGCGGCAGCACCCGCCGCCGCCGGCGCGATCATGGCAGCCTCACGGCAGGGGCGGCCGCGGCGGCGGCGTGGCGCGCGGGCCTGCGCGGGCACACGGATGGGGCAGTCCGGAGGGTGGGGGCGCTTGCAGCGGCGCATCCAGGGAGGCGGGGAACGTTGGCAGGGGCTCTGGCGGCCCCTGAAATCCTCAATCGCCGCCCACCATACAGCTGGCTGGCGCAGCACCGCCCCAAACCCCGCCCCCTCTCCGCAGCGTCGCGGCCAGGCGCGCGTTGACCGCCGCAGGGCACCTTTGACCGGCCGAGTTGACCAGCGCTGTGACTCACCGTCCCCTCCCTGCCCATCAGTCCCCTTCTACCTGCCCTCGCCACCCCCTGTAGAAGCGCGTGTGCCCCAGAGGCACCGAGTGTCCCTTTGCCCACTCTATGACAGAGTACTTTTTACACCCCAGCAGGTGGGCACGGCCCTGTGCCCCTGGAGACAAGGCATCCGCCTTGTGTGTTTGGCTCAGTTTCAGGGGCCCTCAAACTGTCCTGTCCTGTGAACTCATACAACCAGGCACTGCCTTGATCCTGATTGACACTTCTTTGCACACGCAGCCACAGCTGGGGCGTATACGCACCCCTCAGGATTGTTGGCAACATTTGTACGTCAGAACCTGCAGCCAAGCTTGCAGCGCCTGGTCCACTCCCGCTTGACGCCTTTTCTGCCGCCCGCACTCTCAATTGCCCCGATGCAATCCAAGGTACCGCACCCAGCTGTGCAACGACGGCGGCAAGTGAGCGCACATGCACCCTCCACCCCGTAGTCCGCCCGCCTTAGCATGAATAGAGCGTGCCCCCCAGCCCCCCCTGCCAGCTGCGCTCCTTGTCCGGCGCCCCTGGTCCCCACGGGCTCGCACGCGTGCCCACGGGCTCGCTCCCGCTCGAACAGGCCCCACTGCCTCTGGTGGGGACACTCCACACTATGCAGCAGTGCAGCCACCCAAGGCCCGCCCCGGCCCCCAGCCTCCCACCC